TTTAAAAGATTAAATCCATTCGTTTGTTTAAAACATTCAAATAGCAAGCATGATTATGATTGAGTCTATTTAAATTTATTTAAACCCAAACCTAGTTCCTATTTAATATTCAGGAATCCTAGGCATGTTTCTACGTTCCATCATTCAACAGATATGAAAAATACATAATTTAAACATGTAAAAATTTATACCGGAAATCAAATCAAAATCAGGAATTTATCAATTTATAACACAAGAACAGATATGAATCAAATTTATAAAACCTATATTCTAATCCAATTAAACATGCATAATTATTTAATTTTATGTGTTTAATAAATCTTGGAATTTCCTAGGCCTATATAGAAACACGAATAAAAGGGAAAGAGATAGAAGAAGAACTTGCCTTAAACTTTCGGATCGCAAGTTAAACTTTTTATTCCCTGATCTTCTCTTTACAGGGTTTTTCTCCTCTTTCCTTCATTTTCTTCCTTCCCTCTCTAGCTCTCTCTCTCTCTAGAATATATCACGTGAATATTTCTCGCTCCTTTTTACAACCTATAACTATATATTTATAAGCTAAATAAAATAACCCTAACTTTTTTCCCAATCCAAGTCAACTTAAAAAAAAAAAAAAAAAAAAAAAAATATTAAAAAGGTAAGTAAAATATGTTAAGTATATCATTTATGTATATCTTTATTAAATAAATAAATTATACACATTCCATTATTTATTAATGGATTATTCAATAATACCTAAGTTACCATAATATTATAAAGTAACTTAAAACATAACACGTATCAAATCTATGTATATTTTTATTATTTAAATATAAAACATATACATCAGATTAAATATTACTACCCAAGTTACCATAAAAGTAATTTATAAATTACCCATTATTTATTAACGGATTATCCAATAATACTAAGTTACCATAATATTATAAAGTAACGTAAAACATAACATGTATAAAATCTATGTATATTTTTATTATTTAAATATAAAACATATACATGAGATTAAATATTGCTATCCAAGTTACCATAAAAGTAATTAATAAATTACTTTCCCTTTTATATATGTATATATATATATATATATATATATATATATATATATATATATATATATATATATACAACTATCCATGGGTAATAATCCATACCCATCCAACCGTCTATCCAAGTAATCCATGGGACCCAATTGGTTGGCCCATTACTACTAACCATAACCATAAAAGAAAAATAAAATAAAAGAAAATATTTAATTTACAATTAATCAAAACATCATTTAAGCATATAATCTAATTAAATAATTAACACATAGACAAATACAAATAACACATAGACACATAATCAAATACTCAAGTAACACTTAATTCAATTAAACCCACAAGCAATGAGTCAAATAATCAATTAAATAATTAAAAATACAATTAAAATAAATAAATAAATACCGAGACTATCCTTTTAAAATTAGGGATATTACATGAATGATCTTAGAAGAAGTGGTACTTCGAAGATAGCTGATTTACCTAAAGAGAAAAGAACAGTAGGCTGTAAGTGGGTCTTTACTGTGAAATGTAAAGCTGATGGTAACATAGATAGGTATAAGGCAAGACTAGTAGCAAAAGGGTTCACCCAGACTTATGGAATTGATTATCAGGAAACTTTTGCTCCTGTAGCCAAGATAAACTCAATCAGAATCTTATTATCTTTGGTTGTGAATTTTAACTTGCCATTACACTAGTTAGATGTAAAAAATGCCTTTTAAAATAGAGATCTTAAGGAGGAGGTCTTTATGAATCTACCACATGGGTTTGAGGAAAAATTGGGACCTAATAAAGTCTGTAAACTGAAAAAATATTTATATGGTCTCAAACAGTCCCCTAAAGCTTGGTTTGAGAGATTTGGGAGAGCTGTGAAAAATTGTAGCTACTGTCAGAGCCAAGCTGACCATACCATGTTTTACAAACACAGTAGAGAAGGCAGGGTTGCAGTCTTAATTGTCTATGTGGATGATGTAGTCTTGACAGGTGATGACAATGAAGAATTGGAGAGACTGAAAAAGAGACTTGCAGCTGACTTTAAGATCAAGGATTTGGATGCATTAAAATACTTTCTTGGAATTGAGTTTGCTAAATCCAAAGAAGGTATATTTGTGAATCAATGTGAATATGTTCTTGATTTACTTAGTGAGACAGGTCTGCTAGGATGTAAACCAGCTGAGACACCCATTGAGCCCAATCTTAAACTGCAGCCTTCTAAAGATGAAGAAATTCTTAATAGAGAGCAGCATTAAAGACTTGTTGGAAGACTGATCTATTTGTCACATACACGTCCAAATATAGCTTTTGTAGTCAGTATGGTTAGCCAGTTCATGCATTCACCTAGACGAGAACATTTTGATGCAGTCTACAGAATTCTTAGATACCTAAAGGGGATCCCTGGAAGAGGTTTATTGTTAAAAAATCGTGGGCATTTGCAAGTTGAAACCTATACTGATGCGGATTAGGCTGGGAGTGTTATTGATAGATGGTTAACTTCTGCTTACTGCACCTTTGTTGGAGGTAACCTTGTCACTTAGCGGAGTAAAAAACAGAATGTGGTAGCAAGAAACAGCGCAGAGACCGAGTTTAGAACAGTTGCTCATGGAATTTGTGAGGTGTTATGGATTAAAAGACTACTAGAAGAATTAAAGGTCTCTGATCCGTTGCCTATGAAATTACAATGTGACAATAAAGCTGTTATATCGATTGCTAACAATCCAGTACTTCAGGACATAACAAAGCACGTGGAGGTAGACAAACACTTCATCAAGGAAAAACTCGAAAACAGATTAATCTGTATGCCATACATTCCTACTACCGAGCAAGTTGCAGATGTGCTTACAAAGGGACTTCCTACAAGACAGTTCGAAAGACTAATTGACAAGCTGGCTATGAATGATTTCTTCAAACCAGCTTGAGGGGGAGTCTTGAACAAGAAAGATTTGGTAGTAATACTACCAAATATTATTAGCTATAAATATAATATTTGGAGGATATTTACTGTAAATGGAATATTGGTCAATGCTATAAATTAGAAAATTATTAATTAGGTCAGCTAGCTATTATAATCAGTGTTTTGATTTTGTGTTTGTATTCTCTCCTATAAAGAGAACCTGTAAACTTGTGAATATTGTGAGCTAATATAGAAAAAAAGTTTATTTCATATTTCTTTCTCTTCCAAGTTTATAGTTTTGGATCACAATTATATTTTTACATATGATCACAACTAATTTTTTTTTTACATACAGAAGTTATATTATTTTTCTTGATTATTGTTTAGTTTACTTTTGGATCACAATTAACTTTTTATTATTTATACTTGATTATTGTTTACAAATGTTTTATTAAAAGAAATAATAAAACCGAAATTCTGATTAATTATTCATAAAAACAATTTTTTGTTATAAAAGTTAAAATTAAATTTTCAGTTTTGACATGCACGTATTTTTTACTAGTGTTTATATATACAAAGGGAGTTCGTACTCCACTATGTAATGACCAAGTACCCTCTTTGTATTTTATGTCAACTATGAAAGTTCAGTCTCGATTTTCTTTGCATTGTGATTTTTTCACTCTTTGTTTTTTAGTTTTTATAAAAAATTGAAACTCTATCTTCTTGCTATAACTTCTGGAATCAAATAGAAAAGAAATTGAGTTGCGGGCTTGCTGCTATAGAAAAAAAATAAAAAGAAGAAGAAGAAGAAGAAGTAGAAGATCCCATATTATGTGGTTGCTGTGTGTGAAGCACAAAAATGACACATGCATACGACCATATATAGATAACCAAAAAAGTACAAATCTTGTAGTAAATATTTTTAGAAGATCAAATAAAAAATTCATAAAAAGAACTGGAGAGATAGAGAGTTGAGGCGGAAGAGTTGGCACCATTGTTGATTTTTCAGTATTTCTCTTTTTGTACTGAACTTGTTGGGTATTGAATTTGGATACAATTCTACTAACCTTAACATAAAAAGAAATTATTATTAGAAAATAATTGACATTTCCAAATTATTATTATTATTTTTTATTCTTGCAACTCATTCTCTTTTATGTTTGATTACTTCTTAACATTAATATGAAGTCAAGGGTTAAAGAGAATTTTTAATTAAAAAAAGAAAAGAAAAGAAAAAACATAAAAAAACAAATCACATGGCCAGAAAAAAAACAGACCTAGAACTTTCATAGTTAATATTGAATATTAAGAGGGTAGTTTGGTAATTGTATTTACTAAAATATTGAACCAATTCCAAATCGTGTTGGGGTTCCGTTTCCTTCCTCCCAAGTAAACACCTCCAAGTAAACCCTTTTCTAATTCCTAATCAATATCTCCAAGTAAACCCTTTCCTAATCAATACCTCCCAATATATATATATAGACATACATCATTAGTCTCTCTCATTAATATTGAATCTTCTTTTTTTGGTTATTTATATATTTTTTGGGTTTATTTAGTTATTGTAAGATTTAGCTGCAGAGAATTACTAAGCTCATCAGGGTCTAAGCTAGTTTTTGTAATTCACTTGAGCTTTTGTTTCAAAATTCTGATTTTGTTAGGAATTGTGTTATTGAAAACATGAGCGACTTACTTTTTTCTCATTCAATGGGAAGCAATAACGAGTACGTGAATAGGTTTAGAGCCTTTAGCGCAATAACACATACTTCAGATGATCCAAACAAGCATTCGGGTTCCGAAGATTCGGTGTCAGTGAATCAAGAAAAGGCATCAATTCCTGATTGTGAAAGTGAGATTTCCTGCCCAAAGGGTGTGCAATCGAGTGATGGGTTGATCAAAGTAGATGAAGGGGATAGGATGTTTGAGATTATCCTGAAAAGATTTGTTTCGGGTTTGGGTCCTCTTGGACCTCATAGCAGAGTAGTGGCAATAGAGTAGTGGCAATACACAAATATGCTTGTTCTGGCTTTACCGGACAAGCCCGGCTTCGTTCGTTCCAAATTTTCGAGGAAGCTATGGAAAACAAGTGTGATGGCAATGCCAATGTGAAGGTTGCTTGGTTTGGTGCTTCTAAGGATGAGATTAGAAAGATAATTTCTCATGGTTTTGGTTATTGTGGGAAATCTGAGCCTGCTAAGAGCAATGAATTGTTTGGCTGTGGCATTTATCTCCATCCTAAGGATTTTTCTTTGAAAAGGTAAGCAAGTATTTCCAACGTTGATTAATGTCATATAGAGGACATACAATTGGCAATGCACTAATTGGTTAATGTTCGAGTATATGTGCTTGTTTTACAGTGTGAAATCTTCCACTGTTGACGAGGATGGTTTGAGGCATGTATTGCTTTGTCGCACTATCTTGGGGAAGACGGAGGTTATCCATCCGGGGTCTGAACAGTGTCATCCGAGTTCTGAAGAGTTTGATTCTGGTGTTGACAATCTTTCAGCTCCTAAAAAGTACATTGTGTGGAGTACCCACATGAATACTCATATTTTGCCAGAATATGTCGTAAGTTACAAAGCTCCTTCTTGTCTAACAAACTTAGAAGGTAAGGAATTTGACATACTTTTCCTGAGTTTAATTGTTTTAATGGTTTTCCATAATTTCAGAATAATTGAAGATGTAGTATTCATTTTTTTTCCCCAGGGTGTCCGATTGGTGCTCTATTGTATGGGCTTCAGAAGTTATTACCTCCTCATACCATGAGTTTGATCTTCAAGTATTGCAATGATCATCTAGTAAGTATCCATGACTCGCATTTGTGGCATGAGACTCTAGAATGTGAATGGATATGTTTGGTTTTCTGGAATAGAAAGGAAAAGGAATAAAATTTGTCTTCCTTGGGTTTTTCCATGAATTTTGGTTGCAGGGAAGTTGATCCCCATACTAACTATTCGTTTGGAATCATGTTTATCTTACGTACCCTTTTGCATAATATATATATATATATTTCCAGTAATCTTTCATTCAAACCAAATATATGTCCTCTTTTGTTTTTTTATCTTTCCTTTTCTTTACTTTCATTTAATTTTCACAACAGTCATAATCCTCTTATAATAACCTTTATGAAGAATTAGGTGTCTTTTAATTTTTCTAATATCCTCATCTCAATCTTGTTCTCCAGGAAAAGAAGATCTCACTGCATGAATTGGTGCAGCAAATGGTTAACTTAGCAGGAAAAAAGTTGTTGCTTGATCTCGCAAAATCATACATTGCCTGGAGAACAATTGGTATGACTTACTCCGGTGATATACATGCTTCTATTAGACAATGGTGCGTGAAATTGGATCTATGTTGCTTAATGAATCTCAAACATGTTGGCCGAAGTCTGCACAGAAATGTAGAACTAACAATGGCATCATCTTTAAGCTAATTAAACAGTGAATATGTACTAATACATTGATCAAAGAAATATTTTAATCATTCTGAACATTACCTGTACGTTTTCCTTTGCACTGAGTTGTCATTTTAAACCCCTCTTATGTAAGGGGCATGTTTCCTGACTGAGCATGCCCTTTATCTACGCATTTTGAATTTATAGTTTTATGGAATATTTCATGAAGTTATATCTAGATTTAGAATTTGAGATATTGAAGACTAGCTAGTGAGTAGTAGTAAGTAGATATAAACATTTCACTAAGAAAACGATTCTTTAGGGGGTAGATTGATAAGGCTATAAAAAAGACTTTTGTTCCACGAATGGTACCTGTAACTGATTGAGAAATAACAAAGATGGAGTATAAATCGTTCTCTCCAGCTCTAGCTTGATGTCTTCCTCGGTTTGCACTCTTGTTCTTGTTCATTGCCATCCGATTTCATGAAATGAATATAACCTTTTTCAGTAGTACATTATTAAAGTGTTGCGGTTGTAAACATTTTTTATGCTTGCAGTGAGCTTGATTTTTAATTTATTCCATGAACAAAATCTATTAAATTTTAGTTTCTTTTCAAAGACCTTTCTGTTTGATTCTTTGTTTCATCTATTATTGCTCTTCCATATCCACAAGTCATGTGCGTATTTGTCCTCCTATTGAGTGAACTATTGTGTTTGCTTTTTTGCAGAGACTTGAAGATTCAGTGAGGAAGGAGATGGAAGGGTGGTCGGTCATATGAAAGTGAACTCAGATGCTTGAACTCAGAATTTTATGTGATTTATTATAACTAATGTTAGGACTGACTAGTGTGAGAATGTGAGTCAAGTATGAGAGAACTAACTTTGTACAAAATATTTTTCCCATCCTTATCCTGCATAGTGATCAATTAATCATCTTTTTTGTGATTCTCAAACATGTTTGTCTAATATTATGCTTTCAATTCGACCTCTTAGTTTTAGTTTAATTGAATTTTCTCATGACCTATGTGCTCTATGGATGGTCCACAGTTTCCTTGATGGTCCAGATTTTCTACTATGATGGTTTGACTTGGGTTTCAATCAAATTCTTTTAAGGGTCAACCATGGACAATAATTTCTTCCTAATTACAACTTACAATTTTCATCAATGTTCAGAGGATTATATTTGAAATAAAAAATGGTGAATTAAATTTGGTACAACTTGTTATGGATTTTAACGGTGGCAATTGTTGAGGCTGAAATTCGCGCAGTCCGATACGATACCGTTTTCCTGCAAGGAAGAGAGGAGAAGATTGATGAACCTTGACAGTATCGGTGTGGTGCCTGCCAAGAGCTCTCCGACGATCAAATTAGTCACGGAGGTCTAAAAAGAAGGCAGGGATTAATAATAGTTTTTTTACCTCCTCTAGTTATAATAGGTTTATTCTTACCTGTTGAACCACGTCAGATTTCATTATCTTTGATAATGAAATCTAATCAATCTTATCGAGGATAGGGTAGGTTTATATTTTTCCCTCTCAGTTGCCCCCCATTCCCAAACTTGCAAGTCTAGCTTTGGGAATGTAATAAATTTTTTTTTTTTTTAACCCCTCCTGTGAACAGTACCCCGCGGGTACTATTCATGTGAATAGTGACTCAGGGAATTTTTTTTTTTTTTTGGCACCCGAGGGAACAATACCCTCGGGATAGTAACTCTCTCTTTTCTTTTTCTTTTTTTTTTTTTTTTTTGAAAACCCTGTGAACAGTACCCGCGGGTACTATTCATGTGAATAGTGACTCAGGGATATTTTTTTTTTTTTTTTTTTTCACCTGAGGGAACAGTACCCCACGTACAGCCTTGGCAAGAACGACGTTCCGCAGAATATATGACCCATGCTCCTTTAGGCTCTTTAAATTCCGTGGGTGGCGTAGCTACCGAGATCAATGCAGTCAATTATGTCTCTCCTAGAAGTTGGTTAGCTACCTCTCATTTTGTTTTGGGATTCTTCTTCTTCGTAGGTCATTTGTGGCACGTAGGAAGGGCTCGTGCAGCTGCGGCAGGATTTGAAAAAGGAATTGATCGCTAACTTTTTTTTTTTTGGCACCCGAGGGAATGATAAGGGAATAAATTGTATGAGTTTCACTCCTTTAATGAAGGAATTAAATTTTACAAGTTTTACTCAGCTCGTTAGGGAATTGAACTTTACGAGTTTTACTCAGCTCACCCTTTAAATAAGAGATTTTTATTGTAATGTCTGTAAATTAAAAAGAAAAAGAAAAAGAGAAAAGAAAAGAATTTTTGGTGGGTCCCACCACTAAGCCTTAAGTGGCTAGAGACCATTTTTGGTCTCTCATTCTTTCTCTCTCCCCGTATCTATCTCTCTCTTTTAATTTTCTATTTCATTTTCTTTTCTTTTTCAACCCAATCTTTGAGGCAAGATTTATTCTTCGTTACTTGGCGGATTTAGGTGCCGTTTGAGGCAAAACGAAGCTCAGGTCAAGCTCTACGCATCCATACCAGAAATTCCAGCTTTTAGCCTCTCCTTGGAGTTTGACATTTGTGACTCATTTTTAAGGGTTTTGATGCAAACTTGAGGTAGGGACACCTTAATCCACTACCTTCTTGTTCCATTGTGAGTTATAATCATTTGTTATGCCAAGCATGCTTAATTAGAAGTTAATTGTATCAATGATTATTTTAAATGTTGTTTAGAGAAATTCATGTATTTGAATGTGAGTTGTTTTATGTGTAAAGCATACTTAAATGTATTTTGATGTATCTTAATGTGTTAATAATTACTTGGGAGATGTTGAACATGTTGAATGTTTAATTTTATGGTATAGAATTTTAAATGCCATGATATTGAATGTATAGAACATAGATACATGCACATACCATTGGGTTTGCATGAAATGGGAGAAATTGTTCTTGAAATAAATATGGGGAATTTCAGGGAAGTGTTTTTGATGAAATGGTTTTCTGCGAAACCCGGTCGCTGCGGGGTTACCAACGGGCCGGAGGTTAATATAGCCTAGAGGGGACTAGGGAGTCGCCCTAGAGTGGTTGAGCTAGCTGGGCCCCATAATGACGCCGCGGGGTTACCAAGGGTCAGGGACACTAGCTAATGCTCCTCTCGTGTCGCGGCGGGGCTACCAAAGGACGGGCTGTATTAACAGTTTGGAAATGATGTTTTGGATTATGAAAATGGGGAGCGACACTAGCATGCATTGCATCTCATACCATTGCATTGGATATACTTGACATTGAATCGTTATGCTGTATTATTCCCCGACATTGTATGATCCCCATTTCCCATTGGCCCATGCTTTGTTTGGATTCACAAGGACACAAGATGTGTGTCTTAAGTGTCACCTGCTGAGCTTTATGCTCACCCTACTATTTATATTATTTTTTTCAGGTCTTGGAAGTGAACTAGTGGACGATAATCCACCTCAAGCTTGAAAATTGTTAGAAGGTTGTTTGCTATTTTGTACTTTGACCGTTCTATGTATATTCGTAGTTGTGGAAATGTAACTAAGTTAGTATTCATGGCCTTGTAACTTAAGAACGAACTTATCTTTTGTTTGATGTAAATGAAACTAGTGAAATTATGGTATATGTTTCCATGTAATTGTATCATGTAACGTTGTAAGACAGGGACTTTAAATATTAATCTTGCATTTTGGGACTGTAATTATGATAATTTAACTTAATTGGTGTGTGGATGTTCCACCATGAAAGGAACTATGTTAAGGTATAATGAACGGATGAATGGGATGCTGGATGATTTTATGTGTTTTGTTTATTGGAACAGGTTGTTGAAGGCCCATTTTTAGGGGAGGTTATGCCGAATTTTTTTTTAAATTTTGGCATCAGCTAGGGTCGTTGCATTTATTTACTATCCCTTATTGTAAGGGGATATTAATTACGGGATTCATCCAACCCGGGTACTTGTAGTACAGGATATTCATTTATTATCCCTTATATTATGGGGATATGGATTACGGGATTCATTCAGCCCGGGTCCTGATAATACAGGATAATTATCCCCTATAGTCCGGGGATATGGATGACGGGATTCATTTAGCCCTGGTCCTTGTAATACAGGACACTCATTTACTATTCCCTTATAGTACGGGGATACGGATTACGGGATTCACTCAGCCCGGGTCCTTGTAAATTGATGTAGATACATACCAATTTTGTAAATTGATGTAGATATACACGATTTTTGCGTCAACAATACCAACTTTTATCCCCCAATTTTGATAGCCGTTTTAACCCTTCGGCTTCCAAAATTTAAATTACAACCATTGTATCAAGTTGATATACACACCATAGAACCACCCACTGTCATCATTATTCCAGGTTCATAAATGGCTTAAGCTGAACACTCACTCTCTATATTTGACTTATTAGAGGCTTTCTTTTCCTCCAAAAGTTTAAAAATAGTGGGTTGATACTTCTTCAAATACCTTCCATTTATTGGTCTTTCATGCACCTCACCATCCAAATCCTTCAACCTATATGCACCTCCATGCAACACCTGATGAACTATATATGGTCCATTCCATGTAGGTGTAATACCCCTAATTTTAAAAAGGATAGTCTCGGCCTTTTTAGTATTTATTGTATTGCATTTTTATTTATTTTATTGTCTTTATCGCATTTTTTATTTATTTTATTATTTTTTATTTGTTTAAATTGGTTTATGTGCATTATTTGGTTTAATTAATTGCTTAATGGTTTATTTATCTAATCAGTCATGTTACTTAATATGTTTTTGGTAACTGTTTATATAATTTTATTTATTTATTTAATTGTTTAATCAATTTTATTTAATGGAAATTTAAATTTAAGGGAATTTAGTTTTCTGTTCTTTACGTGAATTTAGGGTTGTAATTTACATGGGTGGCCGACGTAGGTATATATCTTAGGTCGGTTTATGGGCCGAGATGGGCTCTGGCTTTAAGGTTACAAGGATTAGGGTTTAGAGTTAAGCTTATAAATATATACGTGCGGTAAGCTTAGGGTTTGGATTCATAGCAGTTAACTCGGAGGCATGAATTGAATTCTGTGAAAGACACAGAAATTGTGAGGTACAGAGGGAGAACAGAGGAAGATAAGAGGTGTCTCTGGGTTGAACCAAGTTACTGGGGAAGCAGACTTGCAGTTTAGGACACAAACATATCACCACAGAAGCTGAGAATTTAGAGTTTCAAGTCTGAAACTCAAAGGCAAGTTCTTCTCTTTCTCCTTCTCTTTGGCTCGTGTTCTGTGCACCTAGATAATCTTTAGGGTTTAATCAATCAGTAATTGGAATTTACCTGTTTAACTTATGCTATATTGATGATCTGTGGTGTTGAAAATAAATCTGTTGCAGTGCATACAAGTTTCGTTCCAGTTTTCTGTTCTGCAAGCATGTTGTTTCTATTGTAACTTTAGTCTCTGTATTTGATTGCAACTACTATAAACAATATATAGGAACAATACTGGGGTTATATAAAACTCATAGGGATGTTAGTATTCTGTTTTAAATATGTGTTGCAATTTGTTCTGTTTCAATTTGTCAAATAGTTTCAGATTTGTTCCTATCGCATGTTAGTTCGGTAGCAAAATTTAATCTCTGTGTTTGGGTCTAATGGTTGTTATCAAACCTTTGGGATGTTCTTGGGTGTTAATAAAATACTTAAGATCAGTTTAAGAAACCAAACAGAAGGGTTGCAATTGGCCGGAGTTGGAACAGAGGTCAGAACAAAGCTGAAACGGAGAAGAAGCTCACAGGGGGAGAGAGAGCCGGCTCTGGAATGCCAAGAGCCGGCTCCCACCTGTTAGAGTTGGCTCAAAGGTGTGGTAGAGCCGGCTCTATGTCACCTTGAGCCTACTCTACTTTTTTAGAGCAGGCGCGCTCTTTCTTTGTTTTGTGCGTAAAAGTGATTTTCAGTCACTGTTTGGGCATTCTGGGTTATTAATCAGTTTTAAAATTTTAATTGGGTGTTAAATAATAATTTTAACATGTAATTAAGGTCTTGAATTGCATAAATTTATCCCTTAGTTTTAAATGGAATTAACAGTACGCTATTTGACAACTTTACGTACAGTTAACGGCTGAAAGGAGATTTGTTGATTAATTTTAATCTGATGGTTTAGGGTGCTATAAAATGATTTTAAATTTATTTTAGATGCACGTTGAAGTCTTTTAAAGTAATATATTGGACTTGTGGCAGAGTGGGGGCTCTGTGCTAAAGGATACAACAAAATATAAGTATATGACTTAGTACTCTGTTACCGGATGGAGGGAACTAGATCGCTTAGTTTAATTTAGTGATTTATTGGACTATAATATTATTATAGAACTAATTTTAAATACATGATAGGATCATTGTTTTATTAAATTTGAACTATGCATGTGTTGGATGTTAATTGTTAGAAGTGTTAATTCTTCGATGCAATTACATGGATTACTACTGGGTTTTAATTGCTAGACTGTTAAGATTCCTTCTGCAATTATTTGGATGGTGGTTTTTGGTCTGTAAATTATTGAACTGTTATATATGTTGTAATTTACATGGATGTGGAGGATTGTATGTACCGATATGGGACGGTGACATACTAGGGACGGTTTAGCTCAAAATGCATAAACCTAACGTAATAGATTAATGGAATGGATTGAAAGATATCGAATCCTAATTGTGACTAAGATAGATCAGCTGTAACCAAGTTGGATGACTTCCTGGATTAACGGATGGTAGTTAAGTCATATCAACTGAATAAGTTGAGTGACTAACTAGTTGGTTTATTGTATGTCAGTTTAATAAATAGTTGAATTGCATACCCTGGATTTGGATGGACTTTATATATATGTTTATGGTACCACGAGTTGAGCTTGAGTCTCAGACTCGTTAGTTAGGGTGCGTATATGCAGTGGATGTGTAGCTGGTTATAATAGGTTGAGGTGTACCCTGTTAGGTCTAGGTACTCATGCCTACCTTTGGGTGCGTATTTGCATGTTACCTTTTATTCAGGTTGAGACTCCTATTATAGACTAGTGAATGTCCCTTAGTGTGGATATATTTATACGTATGGACTAGATAGATATTGTGAGGTGTCTACGGTGTATCTGCGTATCGGGTCACTGTATGGATTGCAGTTAGATTAGAACTTGCTCGTGGGTCTGACCCACTCCTTCATTATTTTTTTCCAGGTACAGGACGGTTCCAGCCTTAGAGCTTGATCGTGCTTGTCGAGGACAGTCACACATTCATCTGATTACGTAGGACTTCTCTCGATGTTTCTAGCATTATCCCTTTTCAGTTTTTAGTTTCAGTTGAACTTTTGGTTAGGGGTCCACCAGTGGATTCCCAAGTTGTAACCTTGAAGTTTTGGAGGATTGGAGTTTTATTTTTCAGTTATGCATGGAGGGTTTTTTAATTAAATGTTCTTTTAGTTTTAATCCATCTTTATTATTTCTTTTTGTCATCTGTGTTCGCTTTAAAATACTTTAATTGTTTGATATTCCCTCGGGTTTGGGCCTGGGCCTGATTAACCCATGTCTCGGATCCGAGGGGTATCACAGTAGGTGACCACTTGCCATAAGTTCTGTCTACTTTTCCAGGTGGGAGAATTGTTTGCTAAATCATATCACCCTCTGCAAATGACTTGAACTTCACCCTTTTGTCATAAGCCTTTATTACCTTTGTTGATTTTACATTTAACTCCATTAGCAGCACAGCATCATGGCTAAAGGTTAACCGATAAGGAGTTGTTCTTGTACTTGTTCGCTTTGAATTTCTATAAGACCACGAGGCTTCTGAAAAGGTTCCATGCCAACACCTCGGCTTGTCCTGTATCATTTTTTCAATGATTTCAATTACAACTTTATTCGAAGCCTCAGCCTGGCCATTCCTTTGAGCATAATAGGGTGTTGAAGTTACTATTTTTACTTGGATATCACAACCGAGTTGCAATACTTCTCCTGCTCGAAACACAAATCCATTATCGGCAACAATTGTTTCTGATAAACCAAATCGGTAAAAGATATGTCGCTCTAAAAACTATATAACGGTATTACTAGTTACTGATACCTATTCCTCAGCTTCTACCCTTTTGGTGAAATAATCGGTAGCTAAAATAATCCAATGATGGCCCTTTGATGAAGGAGGATTAATCTTACCGATTAAATCTATGGCCCAACCTCTGAAGGGCCATGGTTTGACTAATAATTGCATCTCTATTACTGGAATCCACTGCATTGGGCCATGCTTTTGACAATCTGTACAACCCTTTGCATAGGTCATGCAATCTTTCCTCATTCCAGGCCAATAATATCCATATCGGCGTATCAACCATTTTATTTTGATGCCGGTTTGGTGAGCTCCACATATTCCTTCGTGTACCTTTGCCATAATCTTTAAACCTTCAAACTTGCTAAAACATTGAAATAGTAGACCATCATCAGCCAATCTTCTATAAAGATCTCCATCCATAAGTACATAATCGACTGCACTTCTTTTTATTTTTTGATTGGCTTCTGGAGTTGGATGTGGTAAGAATAAGATGTAAGGAGTCCTCCAATCATCATCATCTAAATCGGCAACATCAGTAGCGAAGACCTCTTCTATAATTTTTATTTTTGAGGGATGCCGATTTTGGGAATGGAATCGGCTAGATATATATTCTAGCCGATTTTGTTTTTCTGCCTTTACATGACTGTTGCTAGAATTATCCTACCGAGACTCTTCACCAGGCTTAATTGGGAAGGTAAGCCACTCAATAATTCTTTTCTTCTTTAGTTGAACCTCATACCGAGAAGCTCTGTTTGCCAAATCGAAGAGATCTTGAAACTCGACCCCATCAAACCTCTTGTGATGTTCAATGTCTAAACAGTTTAATGCCTTGATACATTCTGGTTCTGGCAAACTTATTAGGCATTTGAGTTTAGCTTTTCTGAACCTGGCCATGAAAGTTTCAACCGATTCGCTCGGTAACTGAGATAAACGGGATATGTCTGCCAGCATAGCCTCTGTCTCTGTTCGGTAGAATTGGGTATGGAAGGCTTCCTCCATTTCATCCCAAGTCTGAATAGAGTTGGCTGGTAAGTTGCTATACCATTCAAACGCCGCCCCGGTAAGAGAACTAGAGACTAATCTCATCCTCAACCAAGGACTTAGGCCTACTTTACCACATTGTGCTATGAACCTCACAATATGTTACATCGTAGAAAAATTCTCTTCACCACTGTATATAGAAAAATCAGGATACCGATAATTTCTAGGCAACTCATGGGCATCAACATGATCAGGATAGGGCTTTCTGTATACTGGCCGAGCACGTCTGCAACCCTGTGCCACTTCGGCCTATATTAAAGCCAAAATTTGAGACCTATCGATCCCTGTATTTATTCCTGGAGGATTATTTGAGTGCCGCGGAATGAATAGATTAACCCAATTTCTTTGTGGATCGGCATTTACTTGTCTCCCGGCAGCCGTTGAAGATATCAATGGATTAGCACTACCTTGGTTTAGGTATCCTACCACTTCTTGTTGATCTCTCACTGGTGGAATCGGCTACACATGTGGATGCTGCACATTTTGATTATACTGATTATTCACTGGTGGATGATATACCGGTACAGTAGTTACTGCCGGCGGATCTGATAAGATTGGTGGATTCCTAATTGGCATGCCGAGTGTATGATTCGGCACATTGCCAATTGTAATACCAAGTCCTGTACTTGGCGGTATGATGCCTATTCGAGGCCCTTGGGATATATGTATCAATAGTGCTGTCATACGCTGGAATATGGACTCATTGATATGAGATACTTCAGCTTGATCATGCCGATTGTCTCGGCTTTGATTTGCTGATATACTGGTATGATTTGGCACATTGTCGATTGTAATACCAAGCCCTGCACTTGGCGGTATGATGCCTATTCGAGGCCCTTAGGATATATGTATCAATGGTGCTGTCATACGCTGGAATATAGACTCATTGACATGAGATGCTTCAGCGTGATCATGCCGATTTTCTCGGCTTTGATTTGCTGGTACATTTGTTTCAAGTTTCTGACTCATCTTCTCCAACTGAGCGTACATCATTTGGTTTAACTTTCCTGTCATCGATCTCATCTCATGAATTTGAGAAACCAAAAGCTGATTTGATTCTCCCATTTGAGATCTCACCTCACTGATCTGTGCTTGCTGGGCATCGAATTTTTGCATAATCGATTCCAGTACCTGACCTAAAGGAACGTCGGATGGAATAGAAAAGTCAGTATCATCGCCTACGCCGATTTGTGGATTTTTTTCGTCAGTATTATCTCTTATATTCACGCCTTTCGAACCTCTTAGCTTTGGAGGCATCTTTACTATAACTTGCTGACCTGATGGGGTCCCACCGGGCATGCCAAAAATGTTGACACAAAAATCAGCTCCTAAGATCCGATTCTAAATTGATGTAGTGTGGGCGTGCCAGAACCAATTATATGGTTCAATTGTGAATTGTCAACTTATAGTCTCTTAGGGAATGTTGACTTCAGGCGATTATAGGAGATAGAGAACAAATAAATTCCTAAATGAGTTCAATATTGCCTTAGTTAAAATGACTTTTTGTAAACAAATTATAGTAACGTAACGAGAGAATAGAAAGGGGGAGATAATGGATATAACAAGAAAAGAAAAGGAAAGAATGAGGAGAGAAAAAGAGAGAGAGAGAGATACTGAGAGATTGAGATAGAGAGATTGAGATGAAGAAGAAATAGCAAGGATGCTATTCTTAGAAAGGCTTGAAGAAGCAAACAAATAATAATAAGGATTCTGAGGGTGCTGGACCTCTTGTACAGCGTGCCTCTCTGTTTATTTATAGAATAAATGGTAAAACAAATTCCTAAATACAAGCATCCTAGTTATATTCTAATACAACCACATAATTATTCAAATTAAACTAATCCTAACTAAATACTAATTCCAAATAAAATCTAATCCTATCGATAAACCAACTAAAAATAAATTCAAACTAAACATTCTTAGATAAACACTAATTCAAAAATCAAGTAACTAAATAAATCTTATCTAACATAAAGTTCAAGAACATTCTATCCATGCAGCATCCTTACATATAGCGTTATTTTGTATGAGAACTGCCACGTCACTATTCATGTATAGCACTAATGGATTTTATTCCAACTAAAATGCTATTCCAAACCACCTTCAATCCAATCACCTTCCATGACCCATATATCTATCTCAGCCCAAACTCCTAGTACATCATCACTAACCAGACTTTATGTTCTTGACCCATATTATTATATCATTGATCATCAAGTCGAATTGAAGCCCAAACCCAATTACCAAAATGAGTGTCAACAGGTATCGAAGTCGATGGTAAGTTTGAGCTTGTGGTTGATCCTAAACATTAAAACAGAAGATTGATCTGAAGTTCATCAGAACAGAAGGTTGATCGCAATGTGCTAGCAAGATTCAATCAAAATTGATAATTACACGAGGATGGTGTGAAGACACAAGCCAAAGAGAGGACACTAATCCACAAGATGGGGTGAGTATGTTGATGGTGGATGATGGGGTTTGCTCTAAACTCAAATAAAGAGCTGAGATGTTTGTTGCTTTGATTAAAAAAAAAAACATCTGATTGATGTGGATTGAGAGTATTATTAGTGGGTTGCCATATGTGAGCAATTATGAAGAAGAGTCTTTTTATTTATTTTTTGAGGTGGACTTACGGAGGAGCACATGATGACATATTTTGAGTCAAGATGGTGATTGTTCGATTTCGTGGCTAGAATTTGATGTGTGCAGTATTCATGGACGAGTCCACGTATCATGCATGGACTAGTCCTAATTGGGAATTGATTTTCAATATTTAGCAGCTCAAATTATACCCAACAATGGATGGGAAGAAACCCTGGGTATGTAAAGGTAGTGAGGAAGCAAATGGAAGCAGGGTGGTCATAAGAAATTGAACTCAGAATTTCATGTGATCTATTTTACTATTGTCATTTTCTTTTCTTAAATTTTATTGTTGAGTTATTCTATGGTGCTTAAATTCTATGGTTCATTGTTATAATAATGTCCATGTCTTGTTCAATTTTACATAATTGATATTGTTTTAAAATTACAAATGTTGAGTCTTATCTTTTTATTAATTTCATTTATTGTAAATTCATTTTTGCTGTAATTATTGTAAGCTAAATATTCAATTTATGTGTAATCCACAAAATATTGAGTTATAAAATCATTGTACTTTTTGCATGCATATTGTTTAGAGTAAAATTTTGTTAGAATTATTAATAAAATGGGTTAATTTCACTGACACCCCTCAGGTTTGGTCAAATATCATACTGAAATAATTATCAAAAATTACTATCACCCATACTGTAAATATTTGTTCCGTTTTTCACTTACACCCCAACCGTCACATGTAGAGCTCTGACACCATGTTAATTAATTAAAATAACCTTTCTATTATACAACTTTATGCATATAACTTTTTGTATACAACATATTTATTATATAATGAATTGACTTTCACTTCATGGTCCTATTTGGTTAAAATTTGAACATCCCCCAAAAAAATATAAAAAAAGAATAACCCAACAAACGGCCTAGAATAGAAGAAGAATTACAAAAAAACTATCTATAACTATATATATATATATATATATATATATATATATATATATATATATATATATATATATATTACAAAAAAACTATATATATATATATATATATATATATATATATATATTATATTTGCTAATTTTGCTTGATTTTCTTGACACATATTTGTGTATAAATAAGGAGAGAGGTTCTAATACAACTCGGGAATCAAACTCGTGAACCCCTACTAAAAATCCAATACTGAAAAATGAACAACTGAAAAGAAATCCAATGCTAAACCATGAGGAATACTCCTACGTCGTCGGTAGAGTGAGTGACCGTCTCTGCTCAGCACGAACAAGTCTAAGTCTGGAATTAATGAGTACCTGAAAAATAGTAGTGGGTTAGGCCCACGAACAAATTCTAACCTACTACAATCCAAGCAGAGACTCGATACACATATACATTCTAACTAACTCAACCATAGCTAATAGTCCGTACGTATGTATATTCACACTACAGGACTCTCACTGGGCTATGAAGAGGGTCTCAACCTGAATAGAAGGCAACATGCGAAAACGCACCCATAGGTGGGTATGAGTACCTAAACCTAAACAAGATATACCTCAACCCTCACAGCCAGCTACGCATTCTATTGCATATATGCACCCTAACCGTCGAATCATAAAAATATATTTAAACTCCGTTCCTAACCATCCACAATAAATCCAGTAAGTCGTTCGGCGTATTCAACCGCACCGACTCATAAATATAAGGAGGATTTTATTTAATAACCCGTGCCCTTATTCCAAAATAGGTTGGATTGAGTATTTTGAATCAGTCGGTCCCTAGTATGCCACCGTCCC